TCTGGATTCCTTTCAGTCAAGACTGACTAAAAGGAATCCAGATACTAGTTTGCCATATTAGTTGCTATAATTGATTTCATATTTTTATGGCTGTAAATTTTCACATTGTTTTAAACCTGGTAATATATACATCAAGGAATGGATGCAAGGAGCTATCATTTTCCTCTTTCCTTTAAAACAATTTCTTTGAAAAAAAAAGCCGTATAAAATTAGATTTTCAGTTTAGTTTAGTTTCCATTTTCTGCAATAGTGATAATTAGTAAGTAATTGCCAAGTAATTTGTTATAAATGAGATAGACATTATAAGGGCAATCAACAATCATTTATGAATAAGATAACTCTCAGTTAGCTAGAGTTTAGAGGGTTGCGGTAGAATAGGACTTGCAGCATCACAATCATATAGCTATGTCAGTTTTGAATATATATTATAAAATCATTTTAAAAACAAACTGACAAATAGACAAATAGACAAAATAGTCCCTTAGATTATAGAAAATAAGATATAACCAAATTATTTTTCTATTTCATTCTGAAAATATTTTATTCTTCTTTAAGAGGGTAATTAGATTAAAAATGAAATAAACTACACCTACCTTTAGGTATGTGAAGAATCCCCTTCAGAAGCATTTCAATTCAAACATAAAATAGTAGGAAAGGCATAGGGCATAGGCTTCCACTTCTGGAAAGGACAAGACCTTCAAAGAAAAGTTAGTTACCAGTTTTTCCACTATGAAAATCTCATCTAATCCTATTGCATGAACTCTGCAATGCTCTACAAAAAGGAGGAGAGGGATCAAACACTGTCCTAGCAGCTGATCTGCATGGAATCTGAGCATATAGAGAAGGATTTCAAAGTATCTTTCAATAAATTCCTGTAAATGTACTATTTTAAATGTACTATTTTAACTTCATATCCAGAATATATTGTTTTTATACTTACATTTATTTATTTACATTTATTTTGTATCATTTTCAAATAAAGTAATGGCACGTGGGACCTCGCTGAAACGTCGCCAAGATACTCTTAATCTTACACAGGAAAAGACCTGAACACACCTAGACCTACGTATATGTGTATATATGTGTGTGTGTGTGTGTGTGTGTGTGTGTGTTTTCTGAGGTTCTCGCGGGTATTAGTATGCGGATCTTTTGTTATTCGGGTTTTCTCCCGCATAAGATTGGAAGTATCTAGGCAACGTTTCGATGAAGTCTCATTCATCATCTTCAGGCTTGTGTCTTCGGCTCTGTACACACACACACACATACATACATACATACATATATGTGTGTGTGTGTGTGTTTTCTTAAGTTTTCGCAGGTACTTACATGTATGGTATTCAGCTTTGTTCAGGTATTTTCCCACGTCATTATAGTTGTGCTTTTAAAGTTGTAGCAACGTTTCGGCAGAATCTCATCTGCCATCATCAGGCTTCTGATCAGGATTCTGAAGCCTGATAATGGTAGATGAGATTCTGCTGAAACGTTGCTACAACTTTAAAAGCACAACTATAATGATGGGGGAAAATACCCGAACAAAGCTGAATACCATATATATATATATATTTGTATGTAGATCTTTGGTTATTCGGGTTTTCTCCCGCGTAAAATTGTAAGTATCTTGGCAATGTTTTGATGAAATCTCATTCGTCATCTTCAGGCTTGTGTCTTCGGCTTGCTTCTTGGAGTAATGTGAGCTTGCAGCTGCTTCTTCCTTTTAACTGCTAGTGGGAGTGTGACTTGATTGGGTGGGGGCTTGGCTGCGTTCTGATTGGGCGGGGTGTTCTCATTAGTTGGGGATTTGGCTGTGTTCTGATTGGTTGGGGGGTTGGCTGTGTTCTGATTGGCTGGGGGTATGTTCTGTTCAGGTGGGAGCTTGGTTGTGCTCAGGTTAGTCTTAGTTGCCGGGCGATTTGAGCAGGTGAGCTGTGATCCTGTTGTTCGGCTTCGCATTCGTGGTCATGCCACATCTTCATGGTGGGCATCCGTTCGCTTCATGTATGGGTCAGAGGGGTTTAAAGCGGGTATATATGGGAGGAGGGCTTTGCCGTTCTGAACTACACACTCTCACTAATGTACTAACAGCCAATGGATTCCAAAGAAAGATTACCCACCTAATCCAAAAAGAAACCCCAACCAAAATCCAAGACAGAGAACAAGAGAACGGCAAAGCCCTCCTCCCATATATAAAAGGCACTACAGATAAAATCAGCAAGATTCTCCAAAAACACAACATTAAGACAGCATTCTGCACAAACAGAAAAATATCCACCATCCTAAGAAACCCTAAAGACAGAATCGAGTTAGAAAACCAAGGAGTATACAAAATCCCATGCACCGCCTGTCCCACTACATACATCGGACAAACCAACAGAAGAATAAGTACATGCACTGAAGAACACAAGAATCAAAAAAGAACCGACCTCTTCCCTGGTCCAACACTGAAGAACACAAGAATCAAAAAAGAACCGACCTCTTCCCTGGTCCAACACCTCAGAGCCACAGGACATGAGATTGACTTTAAAAATACCAGAACTATCGCCAAAACCGAACATTTCAACAACAGAATAATCAGAGAATCCATAGAGATAGAAAAACGCCCACACAGCATGAATAAACGAGATACCTCCCGCCTACCAGCCATTTGGAAACCCGCCCTCATTAACAAACGAGTACCTAACATGAGCAATGACACCAGACCCACACCCACGAGGGCCACACAAGATGCTACCACCACACCTCCACGGAGAAAACAGACTCACACCCACACAGATGATGAGACACGACCACGGACCAGAAGCTGTACCGCAGCTGCATCACTACCCGCTTCAAACCCCTCCGACCCATACATGAAGCGAACGGACACCCACCATGAAGACGTGGCACGACCACAAACGTGAAGCCAAACAACAGGAACACAGCTCACCAGCTCAAATCCCCCAGCAACTAAGACTAACCTGAGCACAACCAAGCCCCCACCTGAACAGAACACACCCCCACTCAATTAGAACACAGCCAAGCCCCCACCCAATCAAGTCACACTCCCATTAGCAGTTAAAAGGAAGAAGCAGGTGCAAGCTCACATTACTCCAAGAAGCACAAAGCCGAAGACACAAGCCTGAAGATGACAAATGAGATTTCATTGAAATGTTACCAAGATACTTCCAATTTTATGCGGGAGAAAACCCGAATAACCAAAGATCCACATATATGTGTGTGTGTGTGTGTGTGTGCGTGTGTGTGTGTGTTTTCTTAAGTTTTTGCGGGTATTTATTTTTATGGTATTCAGCTTTGTTCGGGTATTTTCCCATGTCATGTGAAAGTCTGACTCACGGACAAACACTATTCAGAAGCCTGATGATGGCAGATGAGATTCTGGCGAAACGTTGCTACAACTTTAAAAGCACAACTATAATGATGGGGGAAAATACCCAAACAAAGCTGAATACCATATCTATCTATATATATATATATCTACACACACACACAAAGAACATCTGTCAAATATTACTGAACTTATTAAGCTTGCAAAATATATTAATATTTATGTTAGTAAGTTCTATTTATTGCTAGAATGGAGGGTATTCCATTTCATTATCATTTGCAAGTGGAGCTCTCGCCCTACAATCAGGAGGCTATGAGTTCAATCCAGTTGGGGCAGATATTTCTCTCTCTCGGCACACTGAGAATACATCTGCCGGAAAAAAAACCCTGCATTGGTGACAGGAAGGGCATCTGGCCAATAAACACCCAGCTCCATTCAGTTACCTAGACTCCATCCCACAAAGGATTATGGGGGGGGGTGTCAATAAAAGAGGATGATGATGATATTAGCTTTAGAACTGGCTTCTAATGTACTTTGTCAACACAGAAAGTTTCCCAAATATACCCTTCAGTTTCATTATTTGCATTTATTAATAAAATGTTCTGTTGCTTAGTGTTCATTCAATTTTAAATTAAATAGAAAAGCTTTGTTAGGTCTTTGATACTAGAACTCAGAGGAACCCTCTATCTTCATCATGTCTCACATCTGAACCATTCCATGCCAGCAATAGAGGGCAAGCAATTTAAATAATCTTTTAGGATGACTTTAGACCAGGGGTGGGATTCTACTGGTTCTGTCCACCTCTGTAGAACCATTTGCTCTGAAGAGCAGCAGACACAGAACCAGTTTCTGCTGTTTTGGCCCACACGCCCACTCGGGCTCTTACCTGTCCTTTTATTTCCTGCTTTTTCAACCTCAGCTGCTTTGTGTGACACAGCTGCAGTTGAAAAAGCAGGAAAAAAGGACTTTTCCAACAACTGCGCACCCGCATGCAGCACTGTTCCGCTGTACGGGCAACTCAGCAGGTCGTAAATTGCACTCGCGCAACTTGCACAACTAGCGCATGCACGCACGACGCAGAGCACCAGAACCAGTAGTTATACCAGTCGGATCCCATCCCTGCTTTAGACCTGAAATGGCTGCTTGAGTCAGAGCAAGCCACTAGAATATAAGTTCCTTACTAGCATTAATGATGTTAGTACTAGTTTGGGTAATAAAACGTTTGCAAGAAAACAGCCAAGTTCAAGGATTCCTCATTTCAGCCCTCAGCTACAAATATTCCCCTTTATGGGAGTATTTCTACTTAAGAATTGATTTTCAGTTCTGTAAAAAAACTTAAGAATTGATTTTCAGTTCTGTAAAAAAAGTAAGATTTTTCAACGCATTTTATCTAAGCATTACTTAAAAGAAAAATTATTAAAATATCCATATTCCTACCTTTTCTGATAAGCAGGTCAGATTCAGGGATGGGAATATTTGTTTTTGTTTTTTACTTCTTTTATGATCCCCATTTTGGAAGATAAGGGTTGTTCCCATTGTTTTCAAACAAATAGTCTTCAGTGTTTTTACAGCAGCGATTGCTACAGAAACTACAACTCTTGCACTTTTTATCTTGGGAGGATGGACAAAATAAAATAAACTGATAATGCTACAATGAATGATAAAATGATGAAAAGATCTACAGCACAAAAAACAGTGTGAAAAGAAAGACAAGTTTAAATATTGTTGCATAAGAAAGGGATGAAAATAAGACAAGGATGAGAATAAGTAAAATGATAGGCTGGAACATCTGGGAAAGTAAATACAGAAACAAGATAATAACTTGTTAATCTCACCAAAACAAAATCAACATTTCAAGAGAAAAAATATGTTCCAGATTAAATAATCTAGTAATATATATAATATAGAGAGTTCCAGATTTCACCAGCAGGATATGCATGTGAAAAAATCAAAATGGCTATCACAGCAGTACAATCAAACCTTTATCGCTTTTGTACAATTATTCATATCACACCATATACAAAGGGGAGGACTTTGACCATTGCCAATATCATCTTTATATCTTTGACCTTCCCCCTGTGGAATTTGCTAGATCCCATGGTATTCTACTGTTCATGAGACAGAAAGGTTGTCAGAATGGGACACTTGTTTCTTCCCATACCGCAAATACACTTAGGTCTGTTCTTCCATTATACACAAAAGCTTTATATATAAATAATGGTTAGTGATTATTAAAATAATAAAATAAAGACCAACAGTTTTATCATGCTAGGTGACAGGAGAGGGAAACCTGGAAGAGGGCATCTGATACTATCACACTCTCATAATATGGCATGAATCTCCTTTTCCATTCCCTTTGCCATCCCAATGTATTATGTCGAAACCTGGTGGTCATTGATAGGGCTTTCTTCCATTAAACTGCCTAGAATTTATTTTAAAAACATCTAGGCTGTCATTATATCTTCTGGCAAAAAAGTCATGAATAAAGGAATGAATGTTTGCGATTACTTTAGGTTAAAAAATACAAACAAATCCTAAAAATAGTTCTCATGAGAGCGCCAAATTTCTCTGGATAATACACACTGGATAATTCAGGCAATATTTTGAGGTTTTTAAAAAAATCAATTTAGCAGTTTTAACAATTTCCAATTTAGCAAATCTTTTTTGGTGCATTATGCAAATCCTGCAATTTGTGTCTAAAAAAAAAGTACAAGTACAAATATGAGGTTCTTCCTTGATGCTCATTCGCATATAACCACTTTTGCTATGTTACTTCCTTGATTTTATTGTGCAATGGTTCTCTCAACCTCTGACAATTTTTGTACTAAAAGAGGTTATATTGAATTGAACAAGACCTGAAGAAGCAGCTGTGCCCAAAGATACACTCTCTCAGTATATTTTAGCTGAGGCATCTTATCAAGTACATCAGCAGTTTACCATTATTATTCCCATGAAAAATGTATGTAAGAGGTCCTTTCCTCTCAATGGCTTTCAGTGCTTATTTTCCTTTTATTACATTTTGCTTCTGCAGGCTTAGCCTAGCTACACATTTTGGAAGGCCCAAAGGCAAGACTATTTAAGTCCTGTCCACTTCCCACGGCAACATTTTTAGGTTCCATCACTATAACTGTTCCTCCCCCTTCTGTTCCCTCCTCCCCCTCCTCCCATTACATGTTTTTTTAATGAGAGAGACTGCTGGAAAGCAGCTGTTCCTCTTCTTATAACCATCATTTTCCCACCATAAATAAGAAAAGAAAAACAAGTGAACTGAGGCAAGAGCAAAAAGACCCAACAGTAAAAGCAGAGAGCTTTAGCTAACGGAGCCATAATGATACCATGGGTCTTGATAGGTACCCAATATGCCAAGCCATGATACCAACTTGATACAGCTCTTAGTAACAAATTAGAATTAGGCTATAAGCTACTGCTTAACCTTTCCTATTAAACCACAGAAACATCTGTTAAGCTGCTCCTTCTGCCATTCTTAATATCCAAGGGTGAAACAAAAATGATTATCATATGCTCCTGCAAAATCTCAGGCAGAATATGTTTATCCTAGATGGCTTACAAAGTAAAAATCTACCTGACTCACTGACAAAGGTTCATCTGCACTTCGTTCATCCGAAGATTTTGGAACTTCTAGTCTGTCGATGAAAGCTTGGAGCTCTTTCCTAAAGGCCTTCATCTGGGCATTGATCCGATAAAGAAGTTCGTGTTCCCGTATCCTACTGCCATCATCCTCTTCATCCATAAGTCCAAACAGATCTCCATTGGCCACATAAATTCTTGCTTCAGTTATGATAGTGCTTGTGTCCGAAATCAGGCGGTCTATCGTCTTACCCAAGCGTTCTGCCTCACAGCGAATATCCTTCATTTGCTGACGGTCCGTGAAGCTTTTTTGCCACCCTGTTGGTGTTGGATAGAAGGACCTTGTAGGGGTCAAGCAGCGGATGTTGCGAACCTCCTCCGAGTCACTTTCCCCACCAATAGGCCCTTCTCTTTTGCGATGGGGGGGACGTGAATCATCATCACTTTCTTTTTTCCCTGCATCACTTTCAGCATCGCTGTCCCTGGGGCTGCCTCGGATCCCCAGATGTGAAGCCAGATCATAGCGCTGCATGTTGGACATCAGGACTCTGTTCTCATACTGGAGTTGCATAACTTTACCACTGAGTTCATTGATCTGCAGGCGGGCGGCTTTGAGCTCTTCTTGCAAAGCCTCTGTCTTGGCACTATCATGATGCCTTGAAGTATCGTGAGCCCCAGTCTTGTATTTGTATTTGTTCAACTCTGTTGTGATGCGCTTATTTTGCTCTTCTACATCAGCCAGGTTTCTTCTCAATAGTTCTGTTTCATCCTCAACTAACTGCAGATGCTGTCGTAACTCTGAGAGAGATTCATTCTGTTCCCCCATTAGGGGATTGGCTGCCCCTGAGAAATCATCTCCTCTTAAGTCATCAAGTTCTGCCTTCAGCCCTCTGTTTTCTACCTCCAGTTCCACTATTTTCCTTCCCAGGATATTGGCTTCTTCCTCAACTAACCTCAGACGAAGTTTCAGTTCAGCTTCTCTTGTGGTAGGTGGGCCTCCAGCTTCCCCCTTTGGTAAGGGACTATCTAAGTCACCATATAATGACCTATACTTTTGCAGGTCATGTTCAAATCTATCCTTTTCCTTGTCTATTTTGGCCAATTTTTTCCTCATTAGAGCTGCTTCTTCTTTGACAAACTGCAACTGGCATTTCAGATCTTCATTATCCTCCTTATAAAAGGGGAGAAAATAAGCAGTTACTTTATATATAAATAAGAACCTTACTTGGCAATTAAAAAAGAAAAACATTGATATTTACAATCACAAATGTTCCAAAAACCCTGAGTTTTTCCATCGATTTAGCAGAGGCAAAATTTATCTGATTCATATTTTCAATACTCAGCATTTTGCAAAAGCAGGATAATCCAACAAATCTGCTTCAGGAATATATTCTTAGTTAAAAATCCCAAAGCCAATTCAACAGCATTTAATAAAGCTAAACAATACTGAAAACATATAATGGATTTTATACTTCAACACACACACACAAAAATCGTGTTTGTCACTTATATATTATGATTTATATGTTATAATTTTCCTAATATATAGAATCAAGGAAGCAGTCATTGAAGTAACTGAAATTTTGACATCTTAATTATGATTCTTGATAGAAAGGTACTATTATCAAATAATATCAAATAAACAAATAGGATATTTTTCCAAGAAGACAAAAGCACGCCATTTTTCTGCTTACTATGGTATCTATTTCAGAGAGACTCAAATTATTCATTTTAAATGCAAGAAGTTACAATCTCTGCAATTTAAATAGCAAATTCAGATTTGTATCTACAGAGAATGAAATAAATGTAGGTATGATAAACAGAATTAATGAAGTCAATCTAAGCTACGAATATCACAAAGATAACAACAATTTCTGCCTATTGAAAACCTGAATCTTTCCCTAGTTGTCAGTTAGAAACACAGTTTATTGCAATGTACTAGGTAGAAAATTAAGTATTTCAAGTTACCTCAGTGGGAGTCTGCTGCTTTTTTTCTGATTTCTGCAAGTCTTTGCTTCCTCTTCTTTTCATGGACTGCTGTAAAAGAAAAAGAAGTTGAAATTAACATTGCACTAGATCTGATGTAATGAGCACATTTTTTTGCAGCTGATTCACAAGTAAAAAAAACACCTTTATCTTACATAATTTACATTGAATACATAATGAGAAATAAAAATCACATTATTGCTTGTCTAGAACAGTGATTCTTAAACCTTTTCTTCAGCACGGACCCCCTTTAAATACCTTTTGTGACCATGAACCATGACCACAGGCATTCAAAACTTAATTTTATGCCATAACATTTCTTCAAGCCTTTGCGGATTCGCTGTGACGACACTGCAGCCCCCTAGTGGTCTGCAGGCCACAGAGTGAGGGCCACTGGTCTTTACACATTTTGAATAATCAAAATATCTGCAAATAGTCCAACAAAAATAGTGTAAAAAGACTGAATGAGCAATGGCCTAAGGAAACTTTTCCAAAATGATAGGTTCAAGTTCCAGCAAAAAGGGATGTTAGTTAAACTCAAATGTCTTTTAAACTTGAAAGTTCACTCCTTCCTTCCTTTCCCTTTCAGTAGACTATAGGCCTTGAAGTCATGTCATTCTTGGGTCAATCTTTGTTGAAGGGCCCTTTTTTCTCTAATTCCATTGTCAACAAGTCAACGAGCAAATCTTTGGTTGAGGCTAGACTCAGAGGGCATCAAAGGAATAGCTACCACTCCCCATCATATACCTACTGGTGAACCTGAACTTTGGCTAGAACTCCCCAGCACCTTCCTTCCCCCTCCTCTTTCAGTGCTGCTTCAGCACATTACGTGTCCAATCTTCCCTACGTTACTCCCAGCATTTGAATTGTGTTTGAAAATCTACTGGTAATCAATGCAGGGACTTCAAGATTTATGTTTCTCTACAATTTTAACCAAAGTTCCTTTGATTCACAGCCTTTCGGTGTTGGAGCCATTTATTATTTAAACAACTGGAAACTACAAAGCATACTGTCCTGTCCTGAATGACAAGTTTAGCACCAAGATCTGAAAAGGGAAATTTCCAGTCACATGGTCACAACCATTTTATGATAAATAAAGAAGTAAGTATGGGCCTTCAGATTGTCAGTCAGTCAAATTAAGCATTATATGTTTATCTCAAATACCATAATGCAACTTTTTTTCTCACATATAAAACAGTTATAAACTGGCTAGCAAAAGTCAATGTATATTCAAATGTAGCCTAATAAAATCACAGTGACCTATTTTCATGAACCACAATTTCTACATGCATTCAGCAATGAGCATCAACTAGACAGCGCTACAGTTCTCTGCACCGAAAACTGGGACAGTAAAAACAATGGTTGCAAAGTGAATGATAAAACTGTATTTATTTATTTACTGGACTTACTGTATATAGCCACCAATCTCATATACATAACTCTGGGTGACTAACAATATTAAAAATGATTTTAAAAAATACAAAAAATATAAAACCTCTAGCAGCCAGGGGGAAAAAAAAGCAAAGCCACAAGAGAACACTGAACATAACCAAGAAACATCACTCGAGACAAGCACAGACCCAAGCCTTCAAGGCTTACAGAAGGTCTTTACAGACAGGGCCCACCTGATCTCCAGAGGAAAAATATTCCAAAGGGTGGAATGTCATGGCTTAAAAGGTTCTCTTCCTGGGCCCCACCATCTGACACTCCTTAGCTGATGACCCCTAACCTCTCATTTATTTCAGAGCTATCCTGAAGAAAGAATTTCAAATGCAAAGGTGATACAGCTCAGTGATTAGGTTATTTCAAAAGATGGCCAAAACAAAAAGCAGAACCTAAACTTAATATCCAGATAATTTGAAACAAGAACTTCAAATAAAGACAACTGAATCTGAAATAGATTAACGAGAGTAATTGTTTAGACCAGGCAAGTTGTATTAGTTACAGGAAGCCAGATTCCAAGTGAAAATTAGGAAACATTTCCTAAGAATCCTAACAATAAGAACAAGTCCACAGTGGAATCAATTATATAGACAAGTGATAAGCTCTCCTTGGCTGAATGTGTTCATACTAGGTAGATATTCAACAGGGCTGTTTTAAATCGGATCCCTATACTGGATTAGATGGATTAAATGTTTGTTTCCAACTTCCGGGATACTTACTTCAAGTCTCAGCTATGGCACTCCGGAATCAAACGGGTCACCAACATTTTTTTCCTTGCCTTTTGCTGTCCTCCATTCCTTACTTATCCTTGATTTATCTTAAACTGCCAGGGTCTTAAACTACCAGTTCTACATACACACATGGGGGTGGGGTGGGGGTGTGATTCAGTGCTTTTAACCTTTTGAAAATAACATTATGCTATTATTCTATCTTTTGTATATATGCAGCATGATGCACACATTGAAGTGAAGTATACAACAAAACACTGCTTTTATTATTTCCTCTTGTCCCTTCCTGTGGATATCTCTGCATATAAAATTTTCCCTCCCTGAAATACTATTCAGAATAAACACATTTTTGAACCATTATCAAAGTAAAATCAATCAAAGTCCTTTGCTTTTATTTTTTCTTTTGCTTCAATAATAACCCTAATATTATTTCAAGTTGTGAAACCAGTGATTAAAAATCTTTATTAAGTACCACTGAAATCTCTTATCAATCCCTGTATCTGTAAAATCCCTTAAAAGATATTACATACAACTGTTCCCACAATTCCCTATTGTCCTATTCTCCAATGGAGTAAATCTCCCAATATTGTTCTGCTGTAATATTTTCAGGATAAAATAAGACCATGATATAGAATCACAATTACAATTATTCTAAATCAAGTTAACATAAATCCAAACTGTTGGTATCCTTTCAAATTAAAGGACTATCAATCATATTTTAAATTAATATTAAATTTGCCTTCATATGTTTGGGAGAGAGGAAACAAATGATATATGCGTCCTTCAAAATAGTGGTGGAAGCAATAATCCAAAAAGTGAAATTGGGTCTTAGGTTCAATTAAAATTGTTTTTTAAGATTCTCAATTGGATAAATGTGGGAAATTAGTATCACTATTATTCAAGATGCTGAAAAGTCAGTCTGATATAAAAGGTTTGGTACAGAACTGGTACTAGGGACAGCCAACTCAACTCTGCCATTCACTAGGTGATTTAGGACCAATCTGTACTTTTCAGCCCAGCCTATGTTCTTGTAGAGAATGAGCAACATTTTAGGGCTGTCCACCCTAAAAACAGAAAAGAGTTCAGTATCAGCATATTCTAATACCTTAACTGAAGAGTTACATAGCTAGCCTCTACTTCCAAAGAATGCAAAATACTACTAAGTTGTCCATTAAACTACTTGTGCCCATTGAGGCACACAGAATCCTTTTGTAGATCAATGCTTTGCCATCAATTGTTTCATGGAAATGATAAAAAAAATCAACTACTCTTCTAATAATTTTATTAACTATACTAGAAGCAATTACGGAGAGTCATGAAATATTCATTTTGCAGTACCAAAACTTTAATCCTGAATATATTTCACCCACATTTTCCCTCTAAGAACAGAGTCCTGCACTCTGCTTGGATAATTAACATTTTAATTATCACAGTGTGACTTTCTGTTGTACTTATTCTATTGTGATCACAAAACACAACAGGAACAAATATAAAGCCAGTGGTGGTGCCGTGGTTAAAATGCAGTACTGCAGGCTACTTCTGCTGATTGCCAGCTGCTAACAGTTTGATTCACCAGCTCAAATTTGACTCAGCTTTCCATCCTTCCAAGGTCAGTAAAATGAGGACCCAAATTGTTGGGAGCAATATGCTGACTCTGTAAACCGCTTAGAGAGTGCTGTAAAGCACTCTGAAGCGGTATATACGTCTAAGTGCTACTACTATTGCTAATGTCCCATATCCTCAAGATGTGGTACGGGTTCCTTCATGTACCACTGATATTATGACAGCTGATATTGAAGGTAAGGTATTCCTTATGACTGTAATTGAGCCTGCAACATCATAAGTTGTTGCAGTCAGATTCAAAGTTATAATTGTTTTTACAATGATCATTAAGCAAACACAGTGTTTATTAAACAAGTTCATTTTCCCCAATGGGTACTTTTTGCCGGAAATTGGCAAAAAACATTGCAAATCACAATCACACAAACACAGGAGGCTGCAAACAGCTGTTAAGGTGAGCTGGTTGCTAAGAGCCCAAAACACAACCACATAGCCACAGGGTGAGTGAGGCCATTCTAACTGAAAATGGGTTGTAAGTAGCTCTGGAAATGTTGATTATAACTTCAAACCATTGTTAAGCAACCAGCCATAAGTTGAGGACTACCTATAACTCTAAACTAACCAAACAATTGGGGAAAATCTATACTAAGATATTAAGACACCTAGATATTCTATCAAACATCCCCAACTCTTGAAAATAAAATTCCTGCTTTCACTCATGAGAAATATATTGTGAATTAAGATAGAAAATGCTATCAACTGCTTATTTTTTTACCAAGTTTTGGTAGATCTGTATTATTAGTGGCATCCATTTTTATTCTGTCTCTATATTTCACTTTAAGAAACTAAATGGCATAATTTCTACAGATGAAATTTTGGGCCATTCTCTAAATGTCATGTAGAAGAAAGGCTTTATAAATTTATCTTGCAGAATTTGTATGGACTTATCATAATATAGCTAATAAACCATGTGAATCAAAATAAAATTAGATATTTAATTAGCAATTATTATCTTGCTCACCTTTCTACCAAGAATCACAAATCAGAAAGGACAGAAGAAATAAAGACCAAATGAAAATTCCAAACATTGATATTTAATTAGTTCTACTAGCTAATCCAATAGTCATATATTAAAAAAGAGGTTGATTTTCCCAAGCAAATAAGATCAAGGCAAACAGAAGTTAGCACACACTATGAAATTCTGAATGCTAAAATATAGTGTGATATGATGTCATGATCCTGGAATCAGCGCATGAGCTTAAATATCCTTTAATTAGTTTTATTTTCCAAATGCTGTCCTGTCAATAGCCAGTACATTGACTGCTGGCAATAAATAGAAAATGCCTTCAGGGAGTAGGCAGAATAGATCTATCATTCAATTATTAAAAGGGGGCTGTGGGCAGACAAGATAAAGTAGAAAACCATTTGTGCTTTTTGATGCAGATGCAAAACAAATTTGGCTTTGCATAATTTCAATAAACAGAAATAACAATTAACAAGTGCTGTACGTTAACCTTCCCAGTATCATCCTATTTGTCACTGATTTCTGAATTATATTACAAACTTCTACTGACAATTCAGTAAGTCTGTGAAACAACTGAAGTATAAAATATGACTAAAGAAGAAAAAAAACTGAATCCTTCATCATTTCATTGGTGTTCTCAAAATCCAATAACCTGTTTTTTAAGAATTCGATGGATCAAAATTCTGATCACGATACATGGTTGTACAGATTGATGAGTGCAACATAAACCCATTTGTACATTAAGTATAGTAACATGTTTTCTTATTTACATTGTGCATACTGTCTACACAATTTGAAAAATCCAATCCCTGTCATACATCACCACATGTAGATGATTCCCAAAGATGAACATGATAGCAGAAGAAATAAAAGATCTTGAAGAATATAAATCTTCTGTAGAGGTGTCAGAGCAAATGACAAAGGAAAATATATGCAATGTAGCTAGAAATAGATCATTTTTACAGCTATTTCTTGTTCTTTTTTGTTAACCATAAAAATTGAAATAAAATATTTAGTTTTCGTCGTATTTGTTGTCATATTAACAACAAATAATGGAAGCCAACAAACCATCATTGGCTTATGATTCATAACTGGAGGCAAACTGCTTTTTAAAGGCTGGATTTCATGAATGTAAAGAGTGAGACAATGTCAATCTCTAATAACCACTTCAAGTTCTATTTAGTAAGCTAATACCTACATTACAAAACTTCACTTCATGTTGAAAATCTCACAGACATTTTAGTTCTGATCTAATGAATTCAATAAATCAACAATCAGAACAACTGGCAGAACTCACATGCAATACAGGGATAGTACCTTAAAACAAAATAAAAATAAAATACTATGCTAGCACAACAATTCCCAAAATGTAGAGTATTGGTTGTTGTTTCTCAGCACTTGATAGTAGGTTCCTTCATCTCATCAAGACATCAACTAATACAGACTCATGGGACTGAAAATAACTTTCCTTCCTCTTCTGCTTCTTTTGTGCCTTATTTACCTTCAAAGCAAATGTTCACTAGAACATGGAAGATTACATATCATTTTTATGATGTTGAGCTGGCTTAAAAGGGATAATGTTCTACTACTGAGTTTAAAACAAACAACTATTCTAAAGAAAAGTAAAATTAAACTACCCCCATTCTTCCAATTACATATGCAAACGCTTCCTGATCCAGGAATGGATACAATTTGAACCCGTACAAAAGATCTCTTAGCTATGACTGCCACCTACTCTTTAAGCAGGAGTCACAACTCCAAAAGGATGCCCAGAATGGACAACAGATCTGTCTGGGGAAATGCAATCCCATCCAGAATCAATAATGGTAAATTCCTACATCCAGGTGGCTACAAAATCCAAACCCATTCAGTCTGGATAGGATTGAGCTAAACTCTGTCACTCCAAATCCCTACAATCTATAGACATCAAGACAGGTTGTTGGTGACATCACTTACTTCATCAGGGATGGAGATATATAGTTAGGTATCATCAGCATACTGATCATATCTTTCTCAATGGCTATAGATAACATCATCCAGTGGCTTCATGCTAACATTAAATTGGAGCGGAGAGTACCCACTTTCTAATACTCCAAAATTTAGGGGCCAAGGGATCCCTAAATATCTAAGTATCTAATCAAGATCAACTGAAATTGGCCACTGAAGAATGAAGAGAACCAGCTTAATACAGCAATGCCTAATCCAGCTTAATACAGTGCTACGTAACCTCCCATAGCTGATCCAGAAGGAAACCATGGTAAATGGTATTGAAGGCTGCTGAGAGGTCAAAAAAGAGCAAAGATGGATGCATTATTGTATCCTGCTCTCACCAGAGGTTATCAAAAAGTACTATCGTGTTTCTCACAAAATAAAGCCGGGTCTTTTTTTTTTTTTGAGCCCCGAAAAAATGGCTAGGCCATCATTTCGGGGGTGACTTAATTCCCCCCCTTGCATCCTCACCTAGAGAGCCTGCGGGCAGCCATGCCTTGCCACCAGCCACTCCTAATGGGCAATCGTGGTGGAGCATGGAGAGCTCCCTACTCCCACCAAGCACCTTTGCTGCAGACCCGAGACCTTCAGCGCCCACCGCTGTTGCTTTCCCTTCTGCCCATGCCTCCGCCGTGTTTGGAGATGCCGCTTCCACGTTTGGAGCACTGCCGCCATGTTTGGAGCTGCCGCTTCCACGTTTGGAGCACCACCACCGCATTTGGAGCTGACACTTCCTCATTTGGGGCACCGCCGCCATTTGGAGCACCACCACCACGTTTGGAGCTGCCGCTTCCACGTTTGGAGCACCACCGCCGCTTCCACATTTGGAGCGCCGCTGCCATTTGGAGCACTGCCACCGCTCCAAATTCGGCGGCGGTGCTCCAAAATGGCGGTGGCACTCCAAACGCAGAAGCGGCATCTCCAAATGCGGCGGCAGTGCTCCAAATGCAGAAGTGGCAGCTCCAAACATGGCAGCGATGCTCCTAATGGCGTGCTCCAAACGGCAGCGGTGCTCCAAACGTGGAAGAGGCAGCTCCCAATGCAGCAGTGGCATGGGCAGAAGGGAAAGCAACAGTGGCAGGAGCCAAAGGTCTCGGGTCTGCAGCAAAGGTGCTTGGCGGGAGTAGGGAGCTCTCCACAGTCTGCCATGATTCCGTTAGGAGCGGCTAGTAGCGAGGCATGGCTGCACGCGGGCACTCCTAACGGCAAGTCCCCCCTGCCCTTCTCCCCATTTTGCATGTTTTAAGATAAGCCTAAATTTGGGGGGAGGGGCTTAATTTCATTTTATGCCTATAAAACATGCTGGGTCTTCCTATTGGGGGAGGCTATATTGTTGGAGAAACACAGTATCAAAGTTGCCTCAGTCCCCTACTCAAACAGAAACCTGACTGGTGTTGTGCAACCATCTTGTCAACAATATTCCCTAAAAAAAGAAGATTGAATACTGGATAAAAATTGTCCAAAATAGTTCATTTCAGGACTGGCTTCTAGAAAAAAGGGCAGGCCAATGCTTTCTTAAGGGGCACTGGCCTCATCTCCTCTTTTAAAGAAGAATTTGTCATCATTGAAACCCAACCCAATACCTTCCTGGAAGTTTTTACCAACCAAGTAGAGCATGGATGTAATAAGGAGGTGGTTATGCTCACAATCATAAGGACTCTGCCTGCTTCCTTGGCCAAATAAGTTTGAACTCCATCCAGATAACATGGCAAGACTGTCCCAGGAATTTCTATAAGACCTGTACCAAGATGGGCAAGCAGCTAGGAATGAATCTTAGCAATTTTGTCTGTTCTCCTCTGGATGGCCCTAAAAGTGTATCTCAGAGTTCCTTCCATTCAAGAGGGCTGGGCACCCTAAACAGGGCTACGTGTGGTCAGCCATCTGTGGATGCAATAATGGTGGAGAAGTACTGATGCTTTGCCATCCTTACTGATACAAGGTATGCCTTAATAGAAGCTCTCAGCCTTGTTCACACAAGTTCTTTCTCTTTTCTCCACCAATGGTATTCTTGGAATCTCTTAATCCACTTCTCTTTCTCAACTCTTTCATAAATCTACAGAGTGATCCACAAATGGGGAGAGGCCACATGGGAACAATCTAATACAAGGCTTCTTGCACTTTCCTATTCTAGTTGACAATCAGAGCCTCAAGAGGACCATGCAGCAGGCCTCCAGGAGTAACTCCCAGTTCTTTTTGTAACCCCTCCAAGGTCCATCACCCCATCCTCCTGGGGTGGACCATTGGATTCGGTGCCATCCCTCTGGAATGATTATCAGGGCATGATCTAATCAGGATAGGGGAGCTACCTTAAAGTTCCCCAAATTTCCAGAGAATATTGCCACTACTTGAAGAAGAAAACCAGATGAGGTGTTTAACTACTGTCTCATGTTGAGCCCTAGATGACCTGGGATAGGTCCATAGCTGTCACAATAGCCATGAACTGAATTCTGAGTAGAACTCAGATTCTACTCTTAACATATGCAGATTGAAGTTCCTCTGGAAAATGGAATCAAGGACATCAGGCAGGTAGGCTACACTGCAGCAGGGAAGCAGGGAAGCAATAGTCCCAATAAATAGCAAATTACAATAGCAATAGTCCCAATAAATTGTTCACTATCATTAATCCAATGACATTCGTGCAATTCTTTAGTTGTACTTAAAAGACCATCCTGGGTCAAAGACCACAATTTTATATTTTTTGAGTAGCGTTGTTGTTTTTTTGCCTTTAATTTTTCTGGAAACCAAAAGCCATTTCTCACATCAAGACTTAGTGATTCTCATTTCAAAAACAGATACAATGCATTTTTTAACAAATAAATATACAAAGGCTGAAATGGCTAATCTTTGTTTAGGAAAATATCTACTTTTTCAAATTCATCCATTTCTATATAGTTTTGGTTTAGTCTGTCCATGAATCTTCATTAATCATTAAAAGAGTGCTTACGAAATTCAGAGAATGCAAATTGATAATAGAGAGAACCAACCTCTTTCATTTTGTCAAGTTCATTTTGCAGTGCTTGCTTTGTAATTTCTACTTCTATTAATTGTTGTCGTAACTTTTCATTTTCATCTTCTGTGGTGGTACGTTTTTCTTCCACATTTTCCAGCTCATGATGAAGCCTCACAGAAACATCTTTTGCAACCTAAGTGGAACATGATTAGAAACTTACAACAAAGCTAATTATAGACACATATTTAGCAAAAAAAATGAAATGGATCTATGGATTTTGCATTATAGAAATAAATATTATATTTCAATTATATGTCCATTCAATTCTGCCATAATATCAATATAATATTTTCCCAGTGAATAAAAAAATGGAAATATGACAGAGGTTCAGTTTTAACATGCGGGGTTTTTTAAAATAATTTTTACAAAATTAGAATCTAAATAATGATTATACAACTGAGATGGTGCTGCATTTAGAATTTTCAAATCAAGGACCAATCCTCTGTTCATTATCAATATAATCTAACCCAAATTTAAATTTGAAATTCTTATCAGTAAAATATTCTCATTAACAAATTGACCAGGCACCTGGATAAGTACTAACCTTAACAGATGAGAATCATTTTCTTATAGATTTAAGCTCTCATATGTATTTTTTTATGTATGTATGTATTTTTTTAAATTGTTTCTGGTATGCCACTGTAAGATGGAATACTTATAAAGTATGTGAAAATGAGTTGTCAATTTGTTTACTAAATTAGAATATATTGTTACAAATTTCAATGTATATTTCTCAGTTTTAGTGCTTTCACCACCATATGCATTGATCTATACCTTAAACAATTTAATTAAAAGCTAATTAAATATCACAGTGGTTAAAATGCAGTACTGCAGGTTACTTCTGCTAACTGCTGGCTGCCTGCAATTTGTTAGTTCAAATCTCACTAGGCTCAAGTTTGACTCAGCCTTCCATCCTTCCAAGGTCAGTAAAATGAGGACCCAATTTGTTGGGGGCAATATGCTGACTCTGTAAACCACTTAGACAGGGCTGTAAAGCACCGTGAAGTAGTAAATAAGTCCAAGTGCTATTGTTATTTGTAACTGTAAAGCTTGACACTCTCTTCAGAATTTAACAGGCTGTATCCTGATTTAGGTCTATACCAATTACAATTCATTTTTTATAAAAAATATATACAGTCCTAATTTTATTCTAATATCATTTTTCAAAATAATACAACATAGCTCAGATTCAACTATATTCAAGTATAAACAACAAAATATGCCATTTTGTAAAGTGAAAGTATCTAGGTAAGTAAAAGTGAATATATCAAGGTAAACTATTTTATTTATTTAGGCTTTCTCTCTCTACCACAAAGATCAATGTTATATTCTGTACAACTGATTTATGCCATGCATTTATGTTACCTAGTTAGGTAATGCAACTTCTTCAAGAAAACAACCAAACTCAAAGAGCACCAGGAATACCACATTCAACCCTGAACTATAGATAATTCTCTTCTATTGGAATCCAATTATCATCACATGTCTGTATGCTATTTGTCAATTTTGTCAAATTTAGATACTGCCCATCTTACTCTCAGAGTGACTGTGTTAGTGACTCTGTATTACTTATTTATCTATTAGCATCCAGAGAACAAATTTAAGCTTTAAAAAGTATGAGGCTTAAAATCTGGTCAAATGCCCATCTTGTCAGACATAAGCATCACTTGCAAGAGCACTGATTTCTCCATAGGTATGCATGAGAATGCTTTTTTTTATCTAGTTCTTCTACATCAAATTATGAAAGATCTTATGAATGTTCTATCACTTTGCCAACTTTGAACCCAGAGGTACCTTCAAGTCCTGCTCCAAACTACGAAGAAGTTCTCCATCAATCTCTCCAGTTTGTGCATAACGAAGCCTTTTGCGTTCTGCCTTCCGAAGACGATACTGTAGAATCCTACAATTTTTGTTAGCCCTCTCCAATTCATGACGCATTTCCTGTAGCTGGCATGCATCCTCCTCAAAAAAGCTGTCCCTCATCTCATCCATCTCAGTTCTCAGCTCATCTATCTCATTCTGGCATCCAACAAGAAGAGGTAGAAACATATTATACCATGGTACTTCATATAGGTTTTTTTTAATGAGGTTTAAGATAATTTAAATGCATTATATGCATTTTTTCAAGGAAATTTGAGTTTTAAGATCACACAGATAAATCAGTTAATCCCTTATGCATATTGAATGAGTATTACCATGCTTTGACACCCATATCATTAATCTACGATAAAATCATAGTAGGTATTAATTATCCATTCTTGGCATCAGAAGTCCAAAGTACGTGCCACAGTTTATCAAATCTATAAGAGGATACTATAGATATTTCAAATTCATATTAGAAATATTAAAATATATATTAAATATTAAAAATGAATGATGGTAAGCAATGTTATCAATAATTGTACAGTATAGTTTGATTTTTAAAAGATCTTTTAAACCTACTCCTTTTCTCTGCGGTAGAAATAAACTGTGGTGTAAAAAAGTATTATGTTCTGAAAAATAAAATAAAATAATATTTTATTCAGTATTCTGCTTAACACGCTAGAACAAGATCTCAACATATCAATCATTAATCATTTAAAAACACGTATGCAGTAATTGAGAAGCATGGACCAGAGAAGTTCAGCTGCACAAACCAAGTGTGCCTTTTTCTATCATAAAAATTACCTACAGAAAATCACAAACTGGGCTCACACACCTAGAAAATCCTAAAATGCTTTGTTTAAGTTGGTTTGGAATGCCATCTGGGCCTAGCCATTGTGGCTTGTCATATACTGTAAAGGACCACAATGGTTTGGTTCAAATGGATAAGGACAAGGGACAAACCCATAGTTTAATTTAAAAAAAACAATTATCTATCATATCTGAAATGGTCCAGGCTGCACTTCAACATCTGTTATCAAGTTGGGGGAAGGAGAAGGGCAGAAGCTTCGTCTCTAGAATTTGATCGATGGATCCTGGGGAATACGTGATGGGGGGCAGGGTAATCAACATTAATACTCGCCTGCCCCCAAACGCAGGTAGGAAAATAGATGGAGGAAGGGCCTTATTTGCTCAATTGCTCGCCTGTAGTGCAATGCGGGTTCTTGTTTGGAGAATAAAAGATCCCCCACCCTCAATTCCAGCTGGGCCACACCTTTCTTTCCCCCCACCTGTCCCCCCACCCCCACTCCGCTTACCTTGAGGGTGTCGTTCTCCTCCCGCAGTTTCTCCACCTCCTCCAGCAGTTCCTGGGGCCGCCGTGTTTTCATGCTGGAGACGCCATCCGGGGCCCGGCCACGGCCATTGCCTTCTCCGACTCCTCCCGGCGCCATTGGCGAGAGGGTGGAAGAGGAGGAGGCGGCGGCGGCCGTGGAGGGGGAACCGCCGTCCAGGTCGCCGCCTGGACTTTGCATCTGGGTCGCCGCGCCACCTTTTTCTCGAACGGGAGATGTTCACTTTGCAAGCATCCTCGTGCTTTGCTGCCGCCGCCCACCCCCCCGCAACCTGCCGAGGCCCAACCCAGCCCTGCCCTGCCCTGCCCAGCGAGAAGATGGAGAAGCCGGGCCGCCTCCCTTGCCCGTTGCAGAAGCCGCTTCCAGTTGCTGGGCGACACAGCAGAAAGACAGCTCCCCCCGCCCTCAGGCTTTGCCCCGGTCCGCCGGTCCCAGGTGGCGGCTGCGGGCGCCGCGAGCTCGACGTCTCTGGGAGGTCTCTGCCGCTTGGCGGCGGCCTGTCCCCTCCCACTCCTTCTCCTCCCCCACCCTCAGCCCAGCCGGGATGCGGCCGTGGCTGCTGCCGTGCCGGCAGACGGGGCCGGGCAATGGGGTTATGGAAGCCGCAGCAGCAGCCGCCACAACAACAACACAGCTGCTGTGGCGTCTGTGCCCGAGGCGGGGGGGGGCAGCGGAGGGAAAAGCTTCGCGCGGTGGAAAGGATGCCCTCGCGGCTTCTCCTTTCGGCGGCTGGAAGGATCCAGCGGGTCCAGCCAAAGCTCCGTCTCTTCCCTGCGAGATGCTAGCTGTCGCCGTTTCCCTCTCGGAAAGGCCCGGCTGCTTTCCAAGTCCTGAGCGTCGTCTGAGGGCTTGCGTGGGAATCACTGCAGGGCCGGCCCAAAACTGTTTCAGAGAGAAACTGTTGAACCCAAGGCGACGTTTGAAGCCCTCGTATTTGATCCTTTGATCCAACCTGATTCGGACAAAGTAGCTGATTTTAGGAACCATTTTCTTTTGTTGCTTAATTTCTTTCTTTCCTTTCCTTTCCTTTCCTTTCTTTTTCTTTTTTGAAGGAAGGCCTATGTTGCCTAAGGAACCGATAAAACCGCTCTTTTTATTTTTACATTCTTTCAATGAAAAAAGAGCGAAACTAGTGTTCCAGGCCCCACATGCATGCTGGAGGCAATCTGGAGAAATAAAAACGAAAGGGAACTGCATTCCATTGTTTTGTTTTGGAATCTCCCTATTTAATAAAAAGGAGAAAGCAAAACTGATACAGGGCTTTTGCATTCTAGTATGGAAATGTTGCTTAGCTTTGTCTACCAAGGTAACAGTTCTTTGAAGATGGCCAATGTGCTCGCACAACCAAATGATTGGCACCATTCTATTTACACAGAAGATGCTGAAATAATATTACTCTAATATTAAATATTAAGATTAAATTATATTAATCTAATATGAAACTTGATTAGTTCTAGAAGTGAGTTACCTGCAAACCAACTTTGCAATTAATTTTCAAGAAGACCGAGCTTTAATGATTAGAATGACAACTAGGGATTTGGACCCTCGTACAAATCCCTACTTTGCTTTGAAGTTACTGTACACCTTTGAGTTGGTGATAACATTTCAGCTTGACTTGGTGTAAATCAATGCAGGTAAAATAAATGAGAGAACGATATACTATTTCCAGTTCTTGAAAAAAATAAGTGTAATTAAGTGTAAATAAGCAGGTAAAATAAATGAAAGAACAATATACTATTTCAAGTTATTGAAAAAAACAAATAAATGTCTTAGAATTGGAAGAATACTGTTAACACTTTTTTTTGTTAAATTTATTTGCTGACCAGAGTTGTTTTGTTACAAGATGTGTGGCAGATAAATTTAATCAATCAGTAAATGTATTTTTCCAATACATTTCACTTGATAAATAAATCAGGTCAAAAGGACACGTGTATATATTAAATGCTTAATCTATCTAACTATAGAAACCCATCTCTAAATTTCATCAAACAGATTATTTCATTTCTTCACAAGATAAGCAGTCGTAATTAAAACTGTACCGCCCAATTCACTATGATTTTCTAATTCAGAAAGGGAGAATACTTTTGTATTTCTTATGGCTGTATATTTATTGTTAGTTAATACATTTAAATTTTAATGCCATATTGTTACAATAACTTATAAGATTGGAAAAGAAGAAACACCTGTCATGAAAAATTCAGAAAAAAAAGCACAATATTGAGAAATAAACCATTGTTGAGTTCCAGCTTCAAAAGGAGAGAAAGGGTAATAAAAAAAATAAGATTTTTTATAAGAATTTTGAATTGTAGAGTGGAAAAATTATAGGGCTGGATAAGTTTGTGTAAGAAGAATCCCTTTGTTGTTAAGGCAGACTTTTCTTGTTTTGCAGGTCTGGATCTTTCAATTTCTTTCTGCCATTCTTAGCAATATTTCCTTTTCAGGAAGGAAAGGATTAGGGGTTTTGTTTATGGGCAGGAATAATTTATTTGGGTCTGAGAGGACTATATAAAGTGGGGATCATGTTTACAAGATCAATACTTAGATAAACACATTTGGGATACAGATTATGTAAAGATTATGTGGTATTGTGAAGTTAGCCTTTTCTAAAAACCATTAATAAAAAAAAATAAAGGAAATACTGAAACATACCAGTAATGTTGCATAAAATACATAGCTTTCAAAATCAATGTTGTGGCAACAAATTTTTAAAAAAGCATAATATTACTTTCTAGTGAATGTACCAGGTTAAACAGAGGGATAAAATCAAGATCACATGAAGTGTTAATACCACTTTATAGTGTCTTGGTAAGCCCGCACTTGGAATACTGCATTCAGTTTTGGTCGCCACGATGTAAAAAAGATGTTGAGACTCCAGAAAGAGTGCAGAGAAGAGCAACAAAGATGATTAGGGGACTGGAGTATGATGATTGCTGGAACTGGGTATATCTAGTTTAATGAAAAGAAGGGACTAGGGGTGACATGATAGCAGAACTAAGGAGAAATTTCCTGACAACAATTAATCAGTGGAACAACTTGCCTCCGGAAGTTGTGAATGCTCCAACACTGGAAGCTTTTAAAAAGATGTTGGATAACCATTTGTCTGAAGTGGTGTAGGGTTTCCTGACTAGGCAGGGGGTTGGACTAGAAGACCTCCAAGGTCCCTTCCAACTCTGTTATTCTATTCTATTCCATTCCATTCCATTCTATTCTAAAATGTGCATATTGCAGAATGTATGGAGATGGGATAATACCAAATTCACTTGCAAAATATATATACAGGTCAAGAAACCACAGCAAGGACAGAACATGGAATAATCCACTGGCTCCAGATTGGCTAAGGAGTAAAAGAAAGCTGTTACTCTCCTCTTATTTATTCATTCCATATATTGGATATATATTAAAGGGAATTGGGCTGGAAGAAGATGAGCATCCTTTTAAAACTGGGCCTCTGCTGTGTTGTTGATAACTACTCTGATGACCCTACACTGATAGCTAAAAATCAAAATATCTACAAATTCTAATAATAAAAGAACTTGCATTCTGACTGGGGATTCTGGAAGTGGAACTCCATACATCTTAAAATCAACAAAGTTCAGAAGCATTGATCTAGACAGGAGAGCTGAGTTCAAATAACATCTTCAATAGACAAGTAGAATGTAAGTGAGAAAAGGAAGCCTAAGGTAGAAGAACTGAAATGAAAAATAAGTATAGCCTACATCATCTCACACTCAAGCTTTTTGATATGGCTAAGTACAATAATTCTTATCAAATACCCTTCATCTCTGGGGGGAGCTTGACACCTGTCATGCCTCTAGGCATATGGGCAGATTCACAAAGTACTGGGATTCATACAGATGATTATCTAATAATGGCATAAATTGTTCGCAGACTCCAAAGCCATTCTGGGAAATTGCAAGTAATGCTTGGCTTATGATGGCAATTGGGACCAGAACTACCATCACTAAGTGACACAATTGTAAAACATGAACATCAGATCTACACATATAAAACCAAAGCCATCTACAATGTCTTATTTTGTGTTATGTTTTGGATACAAGATACAATATATGTCTGTGGCACGTGCTAAACTAATCTGCTGAGGAGATATCTCAAACTTCAGCTGATTCACGTTGACCAGATGTATTTTCAGCCATTCATAATTGAAATTATAGAAATGGAGCTCAGATACAAGGACATCCATGGGAAGGATTGACAAATCTATCCATAGAAGGTAATAGTTTTTGTCCTTAAATTAATACTTGATCACAAAATTTTTGTCTATTTCTGCTTTAAAACTTAATATTTTGTGAACTATTTCATTTTATTTTTAAATTTCATGTTCTCATTCTAAAGCATTCTTAAAAAATTGTTTAAGTATCATACTTTCTGTGTCATTGAATTGTTTATATTTAACTCAGAAAATTATACATTTATTACATTTGGAGCTAATATCCAAAATAAAAACAATTTGATTGTTATTTTGCCATTTTCAAATATAAACTTTTACAAAAAAAATGTAAATAAAATTTAGAAATATATTTTTTTAAATATAAGAATGAAAATAAATTAGGGATCTCATAGCTTGAAGTCCCCCTACACAGAGAGAAAGGACTTTCTAAAAGGAAACCATGTTTCAGTTAAAACAAAAAATCCAGAAAATGGGGGGATGGGAAAGGTCAAAAATGTCACAAAGAGATAGTAGTCACAACTGTTCACTCAAAACCATACACATTTTACTTGCATAGCACATAGGATGCATGTAAAAAATGGGTGGGACTTCAATCATGTGTTTGCGGCTGCTGTCTTATCTTTTTTGTCCCTGACTCAGTTACTTGTATTTCTTTTTTTATTTTTATTTATTTATTTGATTTGTCAATCGCTTACAAGATAATAAGTATAAGTATATACATAGTTATGAACACATGAAATGGGTACATATAAGATAAATAAAAGAAACAATAGGATAGGGATGGTAGGCACGTTGGTGTGCTTATGCACGCCCCCTACAGACCTCTTAGGAAAGGGGTGAGGTCAATAGTAGGCAGTCTATGGTTAAAGTTTTTGGGGTTTGGGGAAGAAACCACAGAGTCAGGTAGAGTATTCCCGACACTGACCACTCATATTTTCTGCAATCAAGTTTGATGAGGTTAACCTTGAGTTTGTATCTATTATG